AAGTGCCTCAGGGGTTCTTCCGATCGCGAAAAGAATGGTCCCAGGCGATTCCCCGGGTCGATATCTAGCCGCACCACCACTAACTTCACACGTGCCTCATATCCCTTATCCCTTAATCGTCCCTTAAATGACGGGGCGCGCCAAAAGTGCCTCAGGGGTTCTTCTGATCGCGAAAATAATGGTCCCAGGCGATTCCCCGGGTCGATATCTAGCCGCACCACCACTAACTTCACACGTGCCTCATATCCCTTATCCCTTAATCGTCCCTTAAATGACGGGGCGCGCCAAAAGTGCCTCAGGGGTTCTTCCGATCGCGAAAAGAATGGTCCCAGGCGATTCCCCGGGTCGATATCTAGCCGCACCACCACTAACTTCACACGTGCCTCATATCCCTTATCCCTTAATCGTCCCTTAAATGACGGGGCGCGCCAAAAGTAAATGACGGGGCGCGCCAAAAGTGCCTCAGGGGTTCTTCCGATCGCGAAAATAATGGTCCCAGGCGATTCCCCGGGTCGATATCTAGCCGCACCACCACTAACTTCACACGTGCCTCACATCCCTCATCCCTTAATCGTCCCTTAAACGACGGGGCGCGCCAAAAGTGCCTCAGGGGTTCTTCTGATCGCGAAAATAATGGTCCCAGGCGATTCCCCGGGTCGATATCTAGCCGCACCACCACTAACTTCACACGTGCCTCATATCCCTCATCCCTTAATCGTCCCTTAAACGACGGGGCGCGCCAAAAGTGCCTCAGGGGTTCTTCCGATCGCGAAAAGAATGGTCCCAGGCGATTCCCCGGGTCGATATCTAGCCGCACCACCACTAACTTCACACGTGCCTCATATCCCTTATCCCTTAATCGTCCCTTAAATGACGGGGCGCGCCAAAAGTGCCTCAGGGGTTCTTCTGATCGCGAAAATAATGGTCCCAGGCGATTCCCCGGGTCGATATCTAGCCGCACCACCACTAACTTCACACGTGCCTCATATCCCTTATCCCTTAATCGTCCCTTAAATGACGGGGCGCGCCAAAAGTGCCTCAGGGGTTCTTCCGATCGCGAAAAGAATGGTCCCAGGCGATTCCCCGGGTCGATATCTAGCCGCACCACCACTAACTTCACACGTGCCTCATATCCCTTATCCCTTAATCGTCCCTTAAATGACGGGGCGCGCCAAAAGTGCCTCAAGGGTTCTTCCGATCGCGAAAAGAATGGTCCCAGGCGATTCCCCGGGTCGATATCTAGCCGCACCACCACTAACTTCACACGTGCCTCATATCCCTTATCCCTTAATCGTCCCTTAAATGACGGGGCGCGCCAAAAGTGCCTCAGGGGTTCTTCCGATCGCGAAAAGAATGGTCCCAGGCGATTCCCCGGGTCGATATCTAGCCGCACCACCACTAACTTCACACGTGCCTCATATCCCTTATCCCTTAATCGTCCCTTAAATGACGGGGCGCGCCAAAAGTGCCTCAGGGGTTCTTCCGATCGCGAAAAGAATGGTCCCAGGCGATTCCCCGGGTCGATATCTAGCCGCACCACCACTAACTTCACACGTGCCTCATATCCCTTATCCCTTAATCGTCCCTTAAATGACGGGGCGCGCCAAAAGTGCCTCAGGGGCTCTTCCGATCGCGAAAATAATGGTCCCAGGCGATTCCCCGGGTCGATATCTAGCCGCACCACCACTAACTTCACACGTGCCTCATATCCCTTATCCCTTAATCGTCCCTTAAATGACGGGGCGCGCCAAAAGTGCCTCAGGGGCTCTTCCGATCGCGAAAATAATGGTCCCAGGCGATTCCCCGGGTCGATATCTTGCCGCACCACCACTAACTTCACACGTGCCTCATATCCCTTATCCCTTAATCGTCCTTATCCCTTAATCACGTGTGAAGTTAGTGGTGGTGCGGCTAGATATCGACCCGGGGAATCGCCTGGGACCATTATTTTCGCGATCAGAAGAACCCCTGAGGCACTTTTGGCGCGCCCCGTCATTTAAGGGACGATTAAGGGATAAGGGATATGAGGCACGTGTGAAGTTAGTGGTGGTGCGGCAAGATATCGACCCGGGGAATCGCCTGGGACCATTATTTTCGCGATCGGAAGAGCCCCTGAGGCACTTTTGGCGCGCCCCGTCATTTAAGGGACGATTAAGGGATAAGGGATATGAGGCACGTGTGAAGTTAGTGGTGGTGCGGCTAGATATCGACCCGGGGAATCGCCTGGGACCATTCTTTTCGCGATCGGAAGAACCCCTGAGGCACTTTTGGCGCGCCCCGTCATTTAAGGGACGATTAAGGGATAAGGGATATGAGGCACGTGTGAAGTTAGTGGTGGTGCGGCTAGATATCGACCCGGGGAATCGCCTGGGACCATTATTTTCGCGATCAGAAGAACCCCTGAGGCACTTTTGGCGCGCCCCGTCATTTAAGGGACGATTAAGGGATAAGGGATATGAGGCACGTGTGAAGTTAGTGGTGGTGCGGCTAGATATCGACCCGGGGAATCGCCTGGGACCATTCTTTTCGCGATCAGAAGAACCCCTGAGGCACTTTTGGCGCGCCCCGTCATTTAAGGGACGATTAAGGGATAAGGGATATGAGGCACGTGTGAAGTTAGTGGTGGTGCGGCTAGATATCGACCCGGGGAATCGCCTGGGACCATTCTTTTCGCGATCGGAAGAACCCCTGAGGCACTTTTGGCGCGCCCCGTCATTTAAGGGACGATTAAGGGATAAGGGATATGAGGCACGTGTGAAGTTAGTGGTGGTGCGGCTAGATATCGACCCGGGGAATCGCCTGGGACCATTCTTTTCGCGATCGGAAGAACCCCTGAGGCACTTTTGGCGCGCCCCGTCATTTAAGGGACGATTAAGGGATAAGGGATATGAGGCACGTGTGAAGTTAGTGGTGGTGCGGCTAGATATCGACCCGGGGAATCGCCTGGGACCATTCTTTTCGCGATCGGAAGAACCCCTGAGGCACTTTTGGCGCGCCCCGTCATTTAAGGGACGATTAAGGGATAAGGGATATGAGGCACGTGTGAAGTTAGTGGTGGTGCGGCTAGATATCGACCCGGGGAATCGCCTGGGACCATTATTTTCGCGATCAGAAGAACCCCTGAGGCACTTTTGGCGCGCCCCGTCATTTAAGGGACGATTAAGGGATAAGGGATATGAGGCACGTGTGAAGTTAGTGGTGGTGCGGCTAGATATCGACCCGGGGAATCGCCTGGGACCATTATTTTCGCGATCGGAAGAACCCCTGAGGCACTTTTGGCGCGCCCCGTCGTTTAAGGGACGATTAAGGGATGAGGGATATGAGGCACGTGTGAAGTTAGTGGTGGTGCGGCTAGATATCGACCCGGGGAATCGCCTGGGACCATTATTTTCGCGATCAGAAGAACCCCTGAGGCACTTTTGGCGCGCCCCGTCGTTTAAGGGACGATTAAGGGATGAGGGATGTGAGGCACGTGTGAAGTTAGTGGTGGTGCGGCTAGATATCGACCCGGGGAATCGCCTGGGACCATTCTTTTCGCGATCGGAAGAACCCCTGAGGCACTTTTGGCGCGCCCCGTCATTTACTTTTGGCGCGCCCCGTCATTTAAGGGACGATTAAGGGATAAGGGATATGAGGCACGTGTGAAGTTAGTGGTGGTGCGGCTAGATATCGACCCGGGGAATCGCCTGGGACCATTATTTTCGCGATCAGAAGAACCCCTGAGGCACTTTTGGCGCGCCCCGTCATTTAAGGGACGATTAAGGGATAAGGGATATGAGGCACGTGTGAAGTTAGTGGTGGTGCGGCTAGATATCGACCCGGGGAATCGCCTGGGACCATTCTTTTCGCGATCGGAAGAACCCCTGAGGCACTTTTGGCGCGCCCCGTCGTTTAAGGGACGATTAAGGGATGAGGGATATGAGGCACGTGTGAAGTTAGTGGTGGTGCGGCTAGATATCGACCCGGGGAATCGCCTGGGACCATTATTTTCGCGATCAGAAGAACCCCTGAGGCACTTTTGGCGCGCCCCGTCGTTTAAGGGACGATTAAGGGATGAGGGATGTGAGGCACGTGTGAAGTTAGTGGTGGTGCGGCTAGATATCGACCCGGGGAATTGCCTGGGACCATTATTTTCGCGATCGGAAGAACCCCTGAGGCACTTTTGGCGCGCCCCGTCATTTAAGGGACGATTAAGGGATAAGGGATATGAGGCACGTGTGAAGTTAGTGGTGGTGCGGCTAGATATCGACCCGGGGAATCGCCTGGGACCATTATTTTCGTGATCGGAAGAGCCCCTGAGGCACTTTTGGCGCGCCCCGTCGTTTAAGGGACGATTAAGGGATAAGGGATACCTGCTAGGGCAAAATTAATGTCATATTCGTGCTCCCCGTCCCCGAATTGACCAGATATGACGTTTTCAAGTGATTCGGTACTCGACGCTGAATACGAATCCGAATCCGACGCCAACTTCACGCACATGCCGGCTCCGGGGAGACGCCTCAATCAGAGGCAGCCCCGCCGGGAGACCGACTGTCGGCGCAGACCGCCTGCCAATGGGGTCATTTTCGGCATGCCCGGGTCTCGAGTGCGGCCCGCAGATAGCGCGGCAGGACGATGTATGACGCGGCGAGAGGAGAGCAGATGGAAACGACGGAGGGAATGGCGGCGTCGGGACGGCCGCGCACAGCACTGGGAGATAGACGTCAGATCGGGGAGCGCGGCGAGATGAAACGGCAACGGTCGGTGATCGTTCTGCTCGGTCAACGGCGGCCCATTTTCCCTGAACATACGCACAGTTTGTCGTGCTTATATAAGTTTTGCGAAGTTAGTAAAATGTGTAAACTGTAAATGTATATAGTACGCACCAGTTTAAAATCACCCATTCGTGGAATTCGTATTGTTTGCTGTGCACTTCAAAAGACAATTACGCTCGCTTATAAAGCAAAAAAAAAAAAATCGATCAACAATCACCAGCAGGCCTCCTCTTCTAGCCAACTCACCAGTGACGTAATGTGTGTATGACGTCATCACTACCTGGCCAGCAGACAGGCTGTGACCGGCAGGAGCCAGGTGGCCGGCCCCCGGCCGCTGAGCGCGCTTCCGGTGCTGTTTCGCCGACTGATGGCGGCCGTCTTGTCGGCTGGAATGAGATAGACACAGGGAAAGGGTGTTAGGCGTCCGCTGATGGGTGTGAGATGAGGAGGCTAGACGGAAGATGTCCATCGTCCATCGTCAATCATTAGTTGTCAGTCGTCACTCGTCAGTCGTGTGCATTCATAATTTGTAAGTCACCCGTCTTCAATCCTCTCCACATGTGTCGCGCAACAGGCATCAGTCATCACCTCATCATACATCAGACGACATCATATCACGTCAGTCTCTAATGGTTACACATCAACTGCCAGACTCGCCATCGACTGTTAGTTCTGAGACATATCGCCGCCTTTCAGAGGTTACGCACGCACAGGAAAGGCTGTGGAGTGGAGCAAGACGGTGCTGAGTCACGCGACCCACGAGCGTCGAAGGGAAAGGGTCATTGTACCGAGAAAGGCGACAAAGAAAGCTCGTAACGCCAGATTAGCTGTGGCTGTTGCGGAAAATCGTGCTAAGGTATGTGAACGAAAATTCCAGAACAGTTAAGTTTTTTTTTTAGTTTAAGCACTTAACCATGAAATGGTTGAGCTCGGCGCTGATGGCTGCATAAACAAGGTACTCAACCCTTATTGAATTCGACTGGATTTGCCGAACGTAGTTAAATAACTAAAATCCCAAACACTAAGTGTCAACATCGTCTTATTTGCGATGTTCGATTGCCGTTAACTTCAGACGAGTTTCCGCCGGTCTGGGCCGTAAATCTTTGACGTGGTAGTCGCTGGTCGCGGGCCCCCGACAGCCAACGGCTGGCGTGGCGGTCTCAAAAAGACAGACGGCACGTGCACAGCCAAGTGGCGATGGTCGATTGGTCCGGTCCATGCGGCCGGACCGGACTGGACCGACGAAATCGAGAGCCGGAAACAGATCGGCAAATGGATGGGGCACAGAGGAGAGCCGGAACAGGAAGGCGGAAACGAGAAATCGGGCGACGATTTCGTGGACGGCCATGATGGTCGACTTTTCCGAGAAACTGGGGAGGAGATAGTGGAGACCGCGAAGTGCTTAGGATGGTAGGTTACTTTTTGAATAGATCAAAGCTTTTTTAAAACGTGTAAGAGTTGAACATTCTCTAGCGCTATGTGTGGTCTAATCTATTTTATAGACCACGTTTCCATGGGCATCACTGATCCGGATCAGTAAAAATGGATTAGCTAATCCAGTATAGTTAGACAATATATGAAAATGAAAATAAGGGATTAACTGGTTATATAAGCCTAATCCACTTTGAATTATACCATGTAACGAAGAGTTCGAGAAATATTATACGATTTAAATTTGCTGATCCGGATCAGTGATGCCCATGGAAACGGGGTCATAGTTTGATTATATCACTATATTGCGAGGTGCAATTTAAAAATTGAGGTCGGGCTTAGTTTCATTTTTCATTTGTTGTCATTTTTCATAAATTTAGTCCGAACCTTTTGATTTGAAGGATTCACAAGGACAGAGCCACCGCTAAGCGAAGCTTGTTGCGGTGACCCTGCCCTCTACCCTCCAATCGCGCAATTCCGATTCTATGGCAGAATTTAGAGTCCAAAGTTTAACGTGCGCACAGAGCCGCGCAGCCGGCCGGTCCCCTCACTGACTTCACCTGGCTACGGCCTGCCACCAACCGCAAACATGCCTGTCAGGAGGCCCATAAATGTCAAGCGCCCGTCGCGCTTCGAACCATGACTGTTATAACCGGGAACGCGTGCCCTCACCACACGGAGTCCAGCGCTCTACCGACTGAGCTACGGGACCGGCTCAAAGTCATCCTGCTCAATAACCGGTTCGATGTAATTTTGTTGTCTGTCTATTGAAACACAGCACGTCTTACTGTAATGGTAAGTGCAAGATGAACATTGATATTTAATTATTCATTTCATAAGCAGTTGCATGATGAGCTTATAACAATGGAAATAAGAATATCAGTCATATAACCGAAAACTGTTAACAGTACCTACACATGCATTGCATCGAAAATGCAGAACATTTGCCGACCAGCACGACCTAAAGTGAAGAATGGCATTACCGTAAGGTCTGTTTTTACAACGCTCTTATACCTATTATTGTCGAGAACAATCTATCATAGACCGGTGATGTATGAGAGGTCATACATACACATGAGTGTCCTATATTTTGTGTCACTTGCATCACTTTATCACTAAGACGGCAAGAACCTCCGAAGAGGACACTTTGCATCATATTGGGATAACAAGTAACACTCGCATGGAAATGTCATCTGATAAAACTCACAAGACCAAAGAAAATATGCATTATGCATCTTTTGGCATCATTGCTGTTTACCCATACCCGACCCTGGCAGCGGCTACCCGTTAGAATAGCCTCCCGACTGCCTCCATGCCCGGCTGCTGCTCGCCGCTTCCGTACAATGGAGCCAACCGCCTCAGAAACTGGCCGCAGACGTTCCCAGTCGACTGTGAACGACCCACCGTGGCTCGAAGGACGCCAATGACGCGCCTCCTCGCCCGGGGCGATTTCAATAGAGGCCAACCGGCTGGCGGTGGCAGCGGCCCGCCCACCTCGGTCGGGGCTCGAGGGAACCTCCTCCGTGACCGACTTAACTGAACTCGGTCTCACCCGACCGAGCCATCGATATTCGACAGTCCGCGCGCTCTCTGACTGAGCCGCTCTCACCCAGCTGAGTACGCTCTCACTCGACCTCTCCGCCTCTCCCCTAGTTGAGTCCGCTCTGTCACCATTCTGGCCGCTCGCCTCTCATCCAGCAGAGACCCCCTCTCTCTCCCCCCCTCTCTCTCTCTCTCTCTCTCTTTCTGTCTCTATCTCTTTCTCTGTCTCTCTCTCTCTCTCTCCTCCCTCTCTCTCTCTCTCTCTCTCGCTCTCTCTCTCTCTCTCTCTATCTCCGTCCCCTTCCCCTCTCACTTAGCTGAGACGTGGTTAACTGGCGATAAATCTGCACCAGCCCACAATCGACCGGCCTGTAGGTGACCATATCTAGTATCATTTGGGTCAGCATTCTGCAATTGAAATTCCGCCGGCGTCCGGCTGGCCCCATTTCTGGTGCCCGCCGTGTGGGAGCTCGCAGATCGAGTGCCACCGCTCCGATATAGTTGCTTTTTATGCAGCTTCGCAGCCAGTTTCGTCCACTAATCGGTTAGCGCCGCTCTCTGGCAGACTTTAAATGGCCCTGGTCATCCCCGTAATTTCCGGTCAGAGAGTTATAAAAGGAAGACGGCTATAAAGATTTAATAGTTATCTTAGTATAGCTCGAACGCACCTACACTATGATCACCTGGAGAAGGTCATGACAAAATACGTAAATCGGAGGTAAGGAAACTTCAGGTTTTATTCATACTATTCAATGTATTCAATGAATCATGTACTTACCTATGTCATAATTTAAATGTCATAAAATGCATAGAAACATGCGACTCCATAAGTATGGCAAGACACGACTGAAAATGTGACTGCAAGTCTTTTGAATAGCCTCCAGACTGGTCCCAGTTTATTCCCGTGTCCATAGATCTGGACCAGCAAAATGAATGCTTGGATGAAAAGGAGCGAGTTGTGAGGAAGGGTAAGAAAACACTTCGAGAACTTCCAATGTGATTCTATTCGAAAAATAAGGGGAAACATGTGAGCAGTTCCTAAGCCACTAAAACATTTCGACAAGTGAGTTATGAAGTGGTAAGTACTTTACCTCAGCGATGTTTTTCTTCAAATTATCAGCACAAAGTTCTGAAGTTTTCGCGACATCTACTGGTCGGAAACCAGCATTGCAGTTAATCTGGGTACGTGTTAAGTGGAAAACTCTGAGAGCGCCATCGCCCGGCGGTCGGCAGACGAAGGTACATCTGAGCCGTCACTCTCTGCCGAATGTCATCTGTGGCTCTTCACCGCACGACAACGGCGGCGTTATTCCGTCGTAGATTCGCAGAAATTGCCCACAGCCGGTATCTGGACCGCCCCAGCGTTAGTTACGAGTCCTCTTCTTACATTTCCTAAACAATTTGGGCGATTCATTGCCGAGAGTCTTGCAGACAGCTCTTGGGATGCATAGCAACACCATTCTATGCCTACTTCTGTTTGGTAATTCACGGCCGTAAGCAAAAACAGAATTGCAGCAAGATTTCTCGTTAGCGTAAGCTTAAAATTATATTGGATGAGCCTTCATTTCGGGCGCCGGATGAGTGATCATATCATCACGCTGACCATCTAAGGAAAAACGCACAAACGCAGGCGTTTTGGTGCCGTTAACTCGATATCGACTGACCATTTGTCAATAACGGAACAAACAGACCGCTGCCAGCCTATCACCAGGCAGAGGTCATCCCCGCGTTATTTATTGCTTATGGCCCGCGGACAGAAGTTCCTGCATCACTCAACATTTTCCAAACATAAATTATCCCACATTGTTGTCATCAGAAAAGAACTTCATCTGACGTTGGCGACAAAACCGCTGTCTCTGCTATTAAACTAACTGAAAGGATGATTTAGCTAGACAGGAGCTTAGCCTGGCTCAGTCTTGCTGATAAAGTCTGAATATAGAATACTTTGATTAATAGCATGGTACATAAATAAACAACATTCTAATGTAATATGATGTCACTATTTTAAAACACAATGAGCCGTGCAAAAGGCTTGACAGCATACCAAAGAATACACATACACACAAACCTCATCACTCACTCTCTATCCATTTCCTTCTTTATCCCCCAAACCCACCGTCTCCAGTCTCCCCTCCACCATCCCCCACCCACCGTTATCGACGAACAATTTGACGCTGTCAGGCGCTGCTCCGCGGGCGCGGCACGTGTAGACGCCCGAGTCGTCGGCTCCGACGGCGGCCAGTGTCAGCAGTGACGTGGTGTTGACGTCCCCGCGGTGCGTCTCCACTGTCAGCCGCGGCCCGTCGGCATCGGGCGTCAGCGGAGGTGGCGGCGGCGTCAGCGGCACGTCGTCCTTCAGCCAGGAAACCACCCGCACCGGGTACCGCGTCTGTCGACAGGGAAGGGGCGGGAAGGGTCAGATGGGGTCACATCGGCAAGGATCGAATTAGGTCAGGTGGGTCAGCCCGGGTCAGATAGGGTCAAATTAGATATGGTAAGCTTGGTGAGGTTGGGTCATATCGGGTCAGATAAGGTCAAATCAGCTAGGGTGAGGCTACGTGAGGTAGATTTAGGTGAGGTCGGGTCAGGTCAGGCCAGATAGGGATGGGTCAGGCTATGTCAGGTTGTATCGGACCGGGCTGTGTGAAAACAGATTGGGCAGGTTCAGGTCGGGTTGGCGTTAGTGGGTACTGGGTATGTATCTGCGGAGAAGGTGAGACCGGAGACGAGAGAAGCCAGGAAGTAAGAATTGGCAGAAAAAGTAGGTCAGGGTTGAGGGCGGGACTGCATAGAAATGAAAAAAAAGAGCATCAAAATAAATCTGATCTAAGGTTACTGTTTTAAGGTGAATGTCACAATGTTTTCATGATATCACCCATTTCATTCGTATATTTAGTAACAGATTAACGATGATAACTATTTGTGTCGTTAATTAAATTATTAATTAATAATGCGAAAGACGCGATTAATTCAGCTGTATCAAACAGTTTCTTACTTTGAAACTCATATGGGCTATAAACAGGGCTATTAATTCCTGAAATTAGGACAGTTACTGCTCATCACGGCTACTTTCATGGCAGGGTAACCCTTCGCTTTGAATTATGCATCAAAGCCCTATACATATTTCTGTATTCTAGCTGGACAGGTGGAAATAGCCACATATAATTAATTCTATCCATTAAAGCTGGGACGACACTTGAGAAGACAGTGAGGGAGTCTCCCGGTGTGTTTGTTAGTACGTACTTGTTGAGTGACGGGCTGAAAAGCGCTCAGTTTTACTACCTTTTCATTAACCTGTGTGCCTCTGTTCACAGCTGCGCTCAATGCCATAAATGTGACCATATAATCGGATGCCGTCATAAAATTGTATTCGAAGTGTCAGTAAGACGAGCCACCGTCCAAATTGCCCATACGCCAAACTTGATGTTGCGGTGCAGTGCTGACAGCGAAATTATAAAATATATTTATAGATAACCCTGTTTTCTACCAGGAAAAACGTGCATATCTAAATACACAAAAGCACATAAAATGATCGCCATACCATTCAAAACATTGCAAAAGCTGCCCGTGTTATTGCTTGACATTCCTTGAATCGTTTTGGTCGACCAATACGTAAGCTTCGGACTGCAGTGTCCGACCATGCTTTGCATACCGAGGTAAGCCAAAGTTCCTCATTAAACCGTGCTCTCCAGTCCCATGAAGTTATCTGAGCTCCTGTCCCGTGCCAGTCCCAGAGACGAGCTGCAAGGTCGGGCGAATGTCATGACACCGCGTCAGAGTCCGTCGTCCCATTGAGACCTGTTGAAAGGTCACCAGACCAGTTCTGCATTCCTGACTGTCGGCCGGTCAAACTGACTAACAAATCACGCGCCTGGACCGACGGGACGACCGGACGGGCCCAGAGACTCGCCGTTCATTTCCATGTTCGGTCATCGGTTTCCGTTCGCTCGCGCTCATAACCTTTCCGCTAAGTTTGTGTCCGTTTCAGTCGGACCAAGTGTCTCATTAAGCCTAGTTGCGAGGCCCTTCCAACTTCTCAAAACTCATCTGGGCACATCTGATTAATTACATGGTGGAGAAGGCTGGGGTGGTCGCTCAGCTCTGGTGATGTTATATCCAAACTGACCTTTAGATGAAAGGGCGAGTACTTATAGCTAAACATAGATGCTGTTGGTTATTTGGAGCAAACTATTATCAACTTCACAAACAAAGGTTTTCTCAAAATGTATTTATGCCAAGAACTAACCCAGGTTTCGTGGCTTTGTTCACAGACTCTGGGCCAGGCGAACTCACGCGAGTTAGGTTGCGCCGCCATACGTCGGTGTACGGCGGGTCAGTCTACCTATTCAGTTAAAACTGTCTCCGCGAGGCTCGCGACTCGTATCACTGCGCTGTCGGGTCCTTTTTTCGCTGCAACAAAAATGTTCTTTCAATATCTTTGACTCGAGCTTTCAATAGACAGTAAATAAAATAAATAAGGGTCAGGTTATATGTGCACTCTAATAAATCGTGCCTCTCCAGGTTGAGATAGATACGGAGTGAGTTAGCGTCAGCCCGTGGAGCGACAGGACAGGCTCGTTTGTTTCAAGCGCCATTTACCTCGTGGCTGCCATGTATCATCCGTGATTGTGGGGCATATCATGTCCAGCCCGAGCGGCGGTGGGCGGCCCACTTTACTCCATCGCTGATATAGCGCCCCGGTCCACGTAACGTAGCCGAGCGCGGGGGTGCGACGCTCCTGCCCCCGCGCGTGCTTCCCTGAACCATGATTAAATAACTGGTGCGGCGTCAGTTCGGAGCGGGGGCGGCCCCGTCCTGGGCAGTAGAAGCCGTGTCGTTACACTGCCACTGTCCGTTGTTACAGTCGCGCCGTTCGCTCGCTATGGCGGCGTGGACAACACGGCGGGGGCGTAACGGCGACCCGCAGCGCCGTGGGTGGCGCTGTTCGCAGAACTGGCACGGACCTGAGTCACTAGAACCTCAGAGACAATAAAGCTCAGTTCTTGGATAGCATAACGGTCCAAATAACCTTTAAGACAGCGAGGGGAGTACCCTTGACCGGTAAATGTGCATGCGTGAACCCCTACTCGAGTGCGTATAATGGCATCGCTGAATAAAACTAGTTATTGCAGGTGTAGTTGACACATTATCTGAATGAGGTGGTGAAGAATTGCGATATCCTGGCATAGGCGCGGGAGCCGGGGGGCAGTGGGGGCAGCTTGCCCCCCCTCCCAACTCTGGGGCCGTGGGGGCGGTGCCCCCACAGCTTTGAGACGGAATACCACACTTTTTTTGCAAATGTTTTCTTTTTTTGTTGAAAAAGCCGAGGGGTGGAAAATAAGTGGCCTAAAACCGGTGAGAAAACTAGATTTGGGGGTACCCTAGGTTGATCTCTATTATGGTGTGCCCCCCCCCCCCCCCCAGTCGGAAAGTAGTTCCCGCGCCCCTGTATCCTGGGTCTCACATGTATGCGGCTAAGTTTTTTTCCTTGGTAAAAATGCTCCTGATGCATATTGCGCCTAAGCTTAAGCGGTTGAACTCTATTTGTATTTCACGTTGTTTTCGTTGTTTAAAATTCAACTTGTGACACATCACGTCACTGACGTCATGCTGCCCATTACGTTATTGACGTGACGGACGTCACCGACGTCAGGCTGGCAGCGAGAGGTCCGGTCCCTTCCCAGTGACCTCTGGACCCCCAGTCAGCAGCTCGGTCCGACGCTGGCCACGGCCGGTCCACGCGCCGATACAAGGCCCCTGATTGGCTGTTAATGGGCGGCGATTTCGGCGCTGAATGAGGCAGCTTTGCAGCTACTGCGTCAGCGCCTATCAGCAGCCCACACCCGGATAAAAGGAACAGCACCACCACCATCACCGACACCATCACCATTCACCAGTAACAGCACCAGCAGCACACAGCGGATAAAAAACAGCAGCGCCACCATCACCAATATCATCACCAATCTCGGCAACAACACCAGCACCAACACCAGCGGCCCACAGCCAAAAGCTGTGCAGGTGGGGGCGGAAAGGCCTGGAATCTGGATGACATGACGGGAGTAGCAGCCGCTGACACGCGGGACGTTTATGATATTTCCCAGAGGAAATCGTTTGATCTCGTATATTAACGTTCAGGAAAGGGCTTCCCGCGCACACCTGTAAAACGAATTTCAATCATACTTGTACCCTACGAGTGATATCTTTGAAGAAATCGCTGCCTTGTAAGCGTCGCTGTTCCTTTTGAAAGTCCGTGCTGAATCGTCGCGTCAAAGTCATGAATTCCTTCGAAATCGTTCACCTTTGAAATGGAGTGACTAAAACTCAAATAAACCGGCATCAAAGAGGCGAATTAAGTAAATGTACCTCAATAGGGCGGCCGGCGGTGGCTCGTATAGTGGTCCGTTGACCTGAATGCCGTATATAATATAGTGTCGATGGCGGCGGCGGCGGCGGGCTCAAAGGCCGATATCCGATCCGGGCCGGGCCGGGCCGGGCGGCGGTCCGTGACCGATAGCCGAGCTCCTCGAGAGTCGCAGCCGGGACCAGGCCCGATTGATCAGCGAGGGAAGCCCGGCAGTACACACGGCACAAAGGACTGAAGTCACATCTGTGCACACGGCACAAAAGAGGAAGTCGTAGCTGTGCACACGGTACGAGAGATTAAGGCTGTATCCGAGCACACGCCACAATAAGCCACTGCAGTGCACTTGGCAACTGACAGCAACTTTAGACAGGGGTGGACAAATGTGCTGAGTTGGGGTAGCACGGGCGCAGCAAATCCGCCGCCGCCCTAGCGGTGACCTTGACCTCCGCCGTCTGTTGCGGCTCTAAAGCCAAGCCGGCGTGGAATTGGGAAAGCTCGTGCTACCCCAACTCGGCACAATTATCCACCCCTGACTATAGAAGTACACGCAGTAAAAGACCGTGTCTAATCTTGGGTGGCTAGAAGTTAACATTTTCCGTGGAAGGTTATTGCATAGCTAATTAAATTTGTTTGCTGTAGAGTGCAGCTAGCAACTGAGGAAAACTACCACACATATCAGGGCCAGACAAAAGTAGATAGAATCAAAGAAGCTCATACACCAGCAACAAGACATAATTCATCCCATCTAACTATGTTTAAGAGTTTTCAAACAATCGTATGCCATAGATTTCACCACAGTTATGTTTGACGTCGGTTTCATTTCGTCACCCCTTGCATCGTCTTCACTTCATTACTTAATCCACTACCCATGTCACAGTCTGCTGCCCTCATATGTCCCATGGAGTCCTCATAGACCACCACGCCCATGTCGTGAGGACCTTTAGTAGACGTTTTGAACGTGTAGGTCGTGGCGGCGGAGGCATACCAAATACCTTGGCGCCCTCGGAGGACCCGAGCGAATGACGAGCGACGGGCCGGAGGCACCAACTCACCGAGTGACGTCAGGCACGGTGTGACGTCAGACCTCAGGTGACGTCAGCGGGGCGTGTGAAATGGTCAGGGATAACTGTCTGAACTGAACAACAGAGACAAGAAAAATATACATATGAGGAAGAAGTAGAAAAAATTCTGCCTTTGAGAATAAAACTACAGCGATGTGCCGTTAGCGTTGACACCATCTCCGGGAGAATTGAGGGGTAGTTAAAATGATTCGACACGACTGTCAAAATATTTCAGTTCAGCATAGTACAAACACAAATCAAAAGCAAACTATTCTGTTAATAATTAACAACATTTACCACCCACTGAAGTGTTGCGATGCGGGCTTGCGAGCAGTAAACGGTCGTTTGACACTGTTACATGAGTTTTACCGGGCCATTTGCGGTTTTATACGCGCGACTTCGACCGTAAGTGGGCCGTTTCTCCGGCAATCACGCCAGACAAACACATTAATAAATTAAACCAGCGGCGCCTCAGCTCGGTGGAGAAAGGACGGCGCCGCCATCTCACAAACGGCGCCGCCTTCGATTGGCTCTCTGAGGAAAGCGTCTCCTCTGAAGACTGCTCCTGTCATGAGCCCATTCCGTGGTTAACAGACAATTACCTTTCAATTATCGTTCAGTGGTGCCACTAATGGATTGTCTCCATGGATGAAAGCGCAACTGACAGGCCTTATCTTCGCTAAAACGACTGCCGAAACGGGCATAATTGAATGGGTTTTATTAAGAATTTAAATATATTACAAAATTGTTGTGATAAGGAATGGCATGAGACCAATTCGAGCTTCCTTATCATTGGAACACAAAACAGGTACTGTATCTCTTAGTAACTGCTGTTATTAGATAATTAGTTAGGACTGGCACAGCAATCGGTTTTGTCTTTAGAACCATGCTCTGACAGAATACCTGCTACTGCCTGCATGTTGTTTGTAGGACGACAGACTACATGGTAAGTACATACATATATGTGTGAATAGGTACTGTGCTGGACTGACAGTTCCCTGTCTGTAGGGCAACCATTTCAGTATCCCTTGCGACTGAAACCCCTGCAGAGGCTGACCGCTGACCGCCGCGTTATACTCGAGTCAACTGTGAGGGTCGCTGTGGTCAACTGTTAGGCTCTTTGTTGGGGACCACGCTGACGATACGGACGCCGGCACCGCGGCCGGCTGATCTCTATCGGTCGGTGTTCACAGTTAACTGTGAAAGTCACTGCGGGAGACACTGTGGGAGTCACTGTAAGAGTCACTACGAGGGAGTTGTGGTTAACTGAGAGTCACTGTGAGAGCCACTGTGAGGGTCACTAAGAGTCACCGATAGGGTCACTGTAAGAGTCACTGTGAGGGTCACTGTAGAGTCACTGATAGGGTCACTGTATGTAAGAGTCACTGTGAGGGTCCATGTGAAGGTCAATGTGGCGGTACGGGCGCCAGGACCGGCCGGCCGGCTGACCTCCATCGGTCGGCGTTCACGGTCGATCCTATCGGCCATCGCAGCTGACCGAGGACCCAGACGGTGCGGCGGCCGCGGACCCGGGACTCGGGGTCAGCTGGAAGCGGTGGACCAGCTGTAACCAGCTCACCAGCTGCCAGTGCTACCTGCTCGGTACCGGAGCCATTAACATGCATTGTATGCAGACCGGAGGCGGGCGAAATTCATGGCTCAACGTAACCTGCATTGCCGCCATGCATGGCAGCGCGACCCACACCGCATTCGTCTAGACGGTATCCAAAAGTGTCACATACCACATTAGTATATCGCCTCGCGGCACGGTGTTTATGCTATGTGTGTACCCGCCCTCCGTGTGATGTTTTGTCGTACCCTGTTCTGTCATCCTGCATAGTATCGTCACAGTTTTTGTTTCCATCTGGTGTCGCCAGCTCATATACCGCCTGGCCGCCGGCAGTAACGACCCCCTTGGCGCCCGACCAGACGGTATTCCGTTTCCCTCCAGAGCAGCTGACCCCCTCTACCTGTCTGCCACTCCCTCAGCTGCTGGGCTAGCCATGCTAGGTCACAGTGTCTGACACTGGAACAAACTCCCACGGCTACGGAGTCAGCCGAGTAGCACCTGCGCGTCACTTTGTATGGAAATGGCGACATGCCCGGTGGGTGGGGAACACAAGAAGTGGTGGTGTGGAGGTGATGGAGGTGAACGATGCTCGGCATATGAGAGATTACGGAGAGGTTGTGTGAATTTTCGTCGGGCGCAGAGGAGTGTAGGCAAGTATTTGAGCAGGCACTTAAAGACCAAAATGAAAGAAACTTTAAACTCATGCTTTGATAAGAGCTCTCCCGAAGTGTGACGTTTCACAGTGACAACAATATTGAATATTGAGTTAAAGAATTAGGATGATATATCACCACGTAGCTTGCTACTAGCCATGTGAATGAGAGGAACTCTGTGCATCTCGCCCAAGGTGTCGATTGTAAGAATTTCTTTCGAGTGTCCCTCGGTCACTGACGCGGGCCGCTCGCAGTTCCTCTCACCTCTATGACGGTGCAGTTGATGCTGAGGCTGCTACCGGGCACCATGTGGTACTGGCGGGTGCCGCTGATCAGAGCCCGCGGTCTCTTCACTCGCAGGTGGATGAAGGTGGAGAGCACCTGCTCACCGTCAGTCACCTGCGAGATAGTCACAAAGGTCAGCGAAGTCTCACAGGTCACGGGGGTCACAAAGGTCAGCGAAGTCTCACAGGTCACGGGGGTCACAAAGGTCAGCGAAGTCACACAGGTCAGCGAGGAGAGGTCACACAGGTCAGCAAGGTCAGTCCTTGACGGCTTGAGTCATTTAACTTCCAGCTTGCATAACTTATTAGTATCATATGAGACATTTCTTCTTTCTAGTAAGTCTAGGCCTTGCAGAGTTGATGGATCAATATCACTCTAGAACAGCATATGGTGCATCGTGGGATTAGTTTTGGGACACAAAAGCCTTTTCATGCGAGACAAGAGCTCAACAAAACATTTTCCTTTCTTTCATGTTAGAACTTCCCGTAAGAAGCAATATCAATTCCAGAAATAGCGCCATATTTGCAGCTACACAAGCTCACACTCATAGTTTTCTTCTCAGTTGCACTGTTGAAATGTTTCATTCTCTTTGTACCAGGCAGCACTTTTCATAACACTTTTCTCCAGATTTTGTCCAGAGTGACTGCGAGAATGAACGGCCAATAAAAGACACTCCTTGCTTTTGGCAGTGGACGGGGAAGGCTGAGCCTCGTCTTGACTGGTCCTCAATCAGGCCGGGTGGTGGTTGCTCGTGACTCCAGCTGAAGTGAAAACCGCTGTCCTTTCAGAACGCCTCGTGCTCCACATAAATCCACGTGACAGTTCGACAGAGAGGGATCTCTGAGCCCCCGTAATCCCTTTCAACACTTATGTATGACCAACACGGTTGAATCCTCTTTATAATAAAAAGCAAACATTTGAACGGGGATAATGCATTTAACATCAACGATACGAACGCGAATTGCCTCACACCTTAGTCTAGTTATTTTTTTCCAAATCTCATGAAACTGCATGAGCGCTGATCCTACTTTATAGCGACAGACTGGCAGCATTTCTCCCGCTGAAGACACAGGCTTTGCATCCAACCCTCCCCGGTCGCTGTTCTATCGCCGCCGTGTAGCCGCGCCGCCAGCACCGGTCGACCATGCTGAATTATCGAAATCGCCCTTTGGCTCCCGAGCTGCCAGCGACGATCGACGCCGGCGGAGTTCACTCCCTGGAAACTGTCCAGCGGTGTCGGCGGTGTCGGCGGAGAAGAAGGCGGAGCTGGCACAGAACCCTGGGAAAGGTGCGGCCGCCGCGGCTCCCGCGCCGCCGCCCCACGGTCATTTGTAACCGCTCGGCATCCGTCTTGTCGCCTGAGGCGAAATAACCCGAGTCGGAAGGTCGACGGCGGCGACGGCGGGAAGAGAGCGTGGAAATACGACACCGGAGAGAGGAGGAAAGGGGAGGGAGTGAAAGGTGCGGGGAAGACTGGGGATTCTTCGAATTTTGTTCAGGATGCAGAATGCTCAAATATTCGTCTGAGAACTTCGTAGAAACCGAATAGGTACATAAAGATTAATACACTGCTTCAGTGGAATCAAATGTAAAATATTAGACGTCATAATTACATGCGCCGTTCATTTTATGCTTCTCCTGCGAACATAGTCTAGCTAAAGCCTTGGCTTATTTATAACTCTCTCAAGCCCCACACGATACAATTTGATCAATATCATCGAAACCGCAGCTTGCTGAAGTCCACAGCATCGCATCCAATCTGGAGAAAATCGGCGGGTCTGGCGTGACCGTCTGGTTTCGTCTACCGCCTCTGATGTTGTCATCAGGGTTAATCCCACCATCCGCGGCCAGTCTGGCGGCTGGTCTGGGGGCAGACTCGGCAGACGGCTGCAATCAGTCGATCCCGACGCCCGTGGAGAGTGTCTCAGGGAGGTCTCAGAGAGGCCTATGGCCTCAGAGAGGTCGGCGGATGCCTCAGGAAGTGACTGACCAGCATGACAGATCAATGCCACGTCCAACAGCCATTACCGGTCACTACCGAACTGGAGAGACTGTGACCGAGAGATGGCGATGTAAAATAGTTAATGAGAGTGCGCAAGTCAAGGAGAGTTTGCGGTAACTAAGGATCACTAAAATGCATTAGCAAAGCTTGAGAAATAAGGTCTTCATTGTCATGGTCCAATGTGACTCCGACAGCAAACATGTCTGAGCTCAGGCATTGACCACTCCGATGACCTCTGGCAGCCCGATGGATTCATCTTCTGCATCGTTGCATCTGCCTCTGAGCATCTCCGCTGAGTGCCGGGCATCAAACTTGGCGCGCTGTCAGAGCCCATATCAGGGCCTGCGTGCGGCCACGGCCGGCCCGCAAGGGACACAAAGTCGGGACCGGGGCATGCGTCATTCGCTGCCACCCAGGCGTCCGTATATCAGGGAAAGGTGGAACTTTGTGGCCAAAGTGTCAGCCTTGTAGTGACGCATGAGGCGGCATGATTTTCCCGCTATCTTAATGGGTTGGGCGATCTGTCGGCGATAGGAAGCGCTACAAAAAGTGGCTGAACTATACGAAACAATAGCAGTTTTCAAGACGGCTATCTGGTACACATTTGCTGCACATTAGATGCGAATTTGGTCAAATTGGGTGCAGATGCGGTCAAATTAGGTGCAAATTTGGCCAAATTAGGTTCATTGTGTTCCTTAGAAGTAATTAGTTTGACAGTTGCTTATGTGCTTGATTTTTCAAATTATCAGGGGCTGCTCAGTTCCATGGTCAGTTCCATGGGCTGCTCTCACTCGCTTTCTCTGTACCTGTTCAAATATACCACCGGTGGGAACCGGAATGATTATTTTCTACACACTGAAATAAATTCATGATGTGACGGTATACGTATGTTGTAAAAGAGATTTGGTGCCCATTTGGTCAAAGGAGGTACTTACATTCGATAGAGTACCCGTCGTGAAAAATGCTGATACGAAATAGAGGTGTTTGGTATTGCAACAATACTTGTGTGGTATGTTTGAAATTGTTTTAACGGACTTTCACTGGGTAGTGGGTAAAAGTTATTATTGGTCCCGGTACTCCGACTTGTATTGAAAAGTCTTCGATGGGGCACACGTCTTCGATACCACACATCGTCTTCGACGATGTGTGGTATGCTCATGACTGTATAGAGTCTGCATGAACCTTTTTAGATAATTTCAGGCCCTTACCCACAAAGGAACACGGACACCATATAAAGAACCACCGCAGACATGCATCATGGCAGTTTATGAAAAGCCTCGTCTCGGCCGGGCTGTGGCCGTATGGGACCCAGACACGCAGAGCACAGGCCACACGGACTACCACGACTCTCGGAGTCCCCCCTCCCACTCCAGCCCCCCCCCCCCCTAGTAGCGCGTGATGAGACACTCGGTCCGTGACCACCATACGATATGGGGAAGACCGACGGTAGTCCCCTAGTACGCAAGCATCTACGCTTGGAATGACGGATTCCTTTTCTTGTGTGCAGCAGTGATGGTGTGATGTGATTGCTCAATGGTTGTAAGTGCAATAATGCATGGGTGCTAAATGAGGTCATTTTATTCGGTGCGAGCGTGGGCTTCAGCGCTGTATGCAATTCAGGCATCAGTGAGCTGTATCCTCTAATCAGGAGCATACAAATGCTACATGAGCTTTATGTTAGCACCAGCTTTCATGATCGAACCCGAGTAAATTTGTTGATTCCAAGTTCGAACACAACGATTTTGTGTCTCACTTTCTGCGTCTTGTTTTCCAATTATAAGTAGGGTGGCAATGCTATCGCATCGCCGCACCGAGGCCAGGGTTTGAAAGAAAAGAAAAGAAAGTAAACACTATAATGAAAAAAGAAAGAAAGAAAAACAGCACCGCACGCATTACAAATATATAATGAAAGTATGATCATCTAAATTCTAAGTCATCTTTAAGGATGGGAAATTTCAATGGTTGATTCATGCCACATTACCGTAAGCTGGACTGTTGCTGTTGTATTATTCAGAGGTGGACCGTCACGGCGCCGAGGTAAGGGATCTGTTGGTCTTCTCGGAATGATAGATACACCCTGAATGCTGTGCCATCACTTTCCAGAAGATAGTGCTCCCAATATAGCCGGCCCACCAGAAAACCGAATGAATTTCCGAAACTGGGCTTGTGAATTGCTGTCATCTCAGCAGACAATTGAAATAGCTGAACAGCAATTGCCATACGTTGGTATCTATGCATTGCCAGTGATCACCTAGACATATGATATCATACCTTATTGCCGTATGTACGCGTTCGATATAAACGAAGACGATAATTTACAAGCCCAGGATGTCCGCTTGTCCGTTCTTATTCCCTCGGCCGCTCGGCCGTTCTTATTCCCTGTGCGAACACAACCGGTCGAGCAGCCGCTGGCTGCTGAGCCGTAAGGAGGCGGTTAGGTGGTCATTTCATTAGTGAAAGACGTCCGATATGTCAGATTTGGTGGTCTCTGGTACCCATTTGACTGATTGAAAGGCGTTACTGGCGGACATCGGCAGGGCCGTTCCGTCTCGGACCGCTCACAACAAGGTATCTATTGCTTCCCGACAGCTCTTACCCTATCCGCTCTGCAGAAATCGACTGTCAAATCGCCACCGGCCTGAGTTCAGAGAGTCTCCGAACCGTCAGTCTCTTACATAACCTAACTTCAGGCTCCGACAGGGCTCTCTAACGACTAACGTCAGTCTCTGACAGAACCAAATGCACTCGTCTTTGGTCCCGGACGAGAGTGAGCTTCCGGTGGCCTGTGCTATAAAGGAACGTTGGGAGTGATCTGATGGACAGCACCTGTTCTGCGTTCTAGACTTCACAGCTTCATCATCTGTAAAAGACGACGCTGATGATGTATGGACCTGTAGGCTTCGCTTAGACCCTGGCTTGATGATGTCAGAACGTTTATGGCGTGTTTTGCCACGTGGCGTTATGGCGTGTTCCATGTCTGACGAAAGGCTTAAAAATTAACGACGCTATCTACAAAATACTAGCTTTAGGAATTATCAGATCACTACTATTATAGCAATCATGCTGCCGATTCCAAGTGATGCAATGCAACAGCTTTCGATCATTACTCACG